TTATAATTTGGACGAGTGGCGACTCCCTTTTTGTTATATATTTCACACTTGATTTTTCAATTTATTTTGAAAAAAATCTTAAGTGGTCGTCAACAACAGTATTATTTAAAAAAGCAATAAACATTTCTTCAAATTATTCTCCTTTTTTGTTTCCAACATGGTATCAGAGCAATAAACTCCTGGTTCTTTTCTCTTATCATCACTGTTTGGTTTTTGGAGTTGGATTTTCAATTCCATTCCAGATCTGAAACTTTGTCATTGGGATCTTTTCTCTTACAAATTGGATTGTTTATCCTCGATTCTCATGCCTTTTCTGAGGTATTTTGTTGGTTTGTTATTTCGATCTTGGCATCTATTTCTTTATATTTTTTTAGAGTTTTTCAGTATTGTGAGTTTTACTGATTCTATGGTGAGTTTTGAAAGGACTGTAATTCATCCTACTATTACTATGGTTGCCAAAGAAGTGATAGACCAACCTAATGTCAACCTTAAATCCCTAAAACGATTGATATTAAATCTTTTTAATGCTCTTACTACCTTATCTACTGCTCTAGGTACCAAACCTTGGTATTTTGATTTTGGTTGTTGTAACCATATGTCTTCAATTACTGCTCATTTCTCTCCAATGTCACTAAATAATTCCTTTCTTGATATTTATTCTGCTGATGGTTCCCCTATGAATGTTAGTCACATTAGCAATGTTTCTACAAAGTCATTGACTTTACTAAATGCCCTCTTAGTTCCAAAACTTAGTTATAATCTTTTATCTATTGGTCAATTATGTGATCTTGGTCTTGAAGTAACATTTTTTGCTCATGGTTGTCATGTGTAGGACCCACGAACAAGACAACTTCTTGGAACTGGTCGTAAGGGGGGCTTTTGTTTGAGCTCAACTATCTACATATTCCTGATAATAAAATGGATACACCATCAATTCCAATGATCGATTCATCCAAACCTTGCTTTGTGTTGTTGAATTAGAGTCTTTACAAATTCCATAACAATAAATTTTGCAAGCTTGTGTTGGTACTAGTGTTTCTCTTCTCCATTTGTGGCACTCACGGCTCAGACATACCTTAGTCGGTAAATTTCATCCACTTATCTCTTGTGGCTTATTAGGATCCATTCTGAATGAATCCTTGCATTGTGTGTCATGTCAATCTGCAAAGTAACTAGCTTTCTCTTTTTCAAATAGTCATTCCCATTCTACTACTCCTTTTGATCTTGTGCATTCTAATGTTTGGGATTCGTCTCCTATACCCACCATGGGGGGTTTTAGGTACTTTGTGTTATTTATTAATGATCATACTCGTTTTACCTCGATATACCTTATGAAAAATCACTTTGAATTATCACAAATTTATATTGATTTCACTACCATAGTCAAAACTCAGTTCTCTAAAATTATCAAAGTTTTGAGAACTGACAATACTACTAAATATCTTGGTACTAAATTTCAATCCTTTTTGAAAAAATATGGTGCACTGACACAACAATCTTGTCCTTACACTTATGAACAAAATGGACAAGCCAAACGTAAACACAGACACATCCTTGATTCTGTTCGTGCTTTGCTCATTTCATCTTCTTGTCTAGAGCGATTTTGGGGTAAAGCTGCTCCTACAGTTGTTTATCTTATTAATTGCATTCCATCATTAGTCCTTAATAACCAGTCTCCATACAAGCGTCTACATGGTATTCTTCCTACCTATAATCTTCTTAAGGTTTTTGGTTGTGCATGTTTTGTTCTTCTTCCACCTTATGAACCTAACTAGTTAGAGCCTAGAGCTTGATTATTCTATTTTTTGGGTTATGGGATTACACAAAAAGGATATCGTTGTTGGGATCATGTGTCACAAAAACTCTGAGTTTCACGTCATGTTGTCTTTTCGGAACACACTATATTCTTAGTGTTGTTAAACTTCAAATTGTCATCCTGTCGTCAACCTCTATTTTTTACTAATCCTTCTATTGAGCTATTTCCTAATGATTTTGATGCAAGTACATTCGATGAGCTCTACAATGCCTCACCACATGCTCCAACTAGTTTTGTAGAAGATGATCTATTTGCTGGTAATGCATTAGATAATTCTAAGCCTTATTCTACTTCCTCATATGTATCACCTATTGATGTTGCATCTGATATTGTTGAGTCTATAAATAAACATGTTGTCCCATCCTCGAGTCATCTTACTCAGGTAAGAAACCCTTCTAGCTACCTTTGTGATTATCATTGTTTTCCTGTTATTACTTCTTTACATGAGCCTCAATCCTATCAGGAGACCTCTTCTAACCCTTTTTGGCAACAACCTATGCAAGATGAATTACAGGCTCTCAAGAACACTCGTACATGGGATTTAGTTGATCTCCCTACTGAAAAGTTTCTAATAGGCTGTAAATGGGTGTACAAGATCAAAACACGATCTGATGGCTCTATGGACTGTTATAAGGCATGCTTGGTTGCCAAGGGTTTTACACAAGAGTATGGAATAGACTATGAGGAAACATTTGCTTCAGTTGCTTGTCTCACATTTGTGAGTAGTTTGCTTGCTATCGCTACTATATGGAGATGGACATTGTTTCAGATGGATGTGAAAGATGCTTTTCTTAATGGTGACCTAGAAGAAGACGTTTATATGAAACCACCTCCTAGGCTCAACCATCCTCCAAACAAGGTATGCCGATTGCGACTTGCATTATATGGGTTGAAGCAATCCCCTCGAGCCTGGTATGCAAAGTTTAATGCTACTGTGAATGAGTTTGGTTTTACTTCCAATCCATATGATATAGCTCTGTTCATTCGTAAGACTGCTCAGGGTATGGTTTTTTTTACTTTTTTTTTATGTTGACGACATGATTATTACTAGAGATGATGTCACAGGTGCTGAGGAGCTAAAACAATCTCTCAGTTAGAAATTTGAAATGAAAGATCTTGGTGTTCTGAGCTATTTTCTGGAGCTTGAAGTCACCTTTTCAAATGATGGCTACCTACTTTCTCAAGTAAAGTATGCCTTCAATCTTGTTTCTAAAGCTGAACTCAATGATGGTAAGAGTGTTTCTACACCTCTTGAACCTAATGTCAAGCTTGCACCTATGGATGGCTCTTCACTTTTTGATCCTACTTGTTCTTGGCAATTGGTTGGTAGTTTGATTTATCTTACCATGACATGCCTTGATATAACATATGCAATTCACATTGTTAGTCAGTTTATGGCTACTCCTCGCTCCACTCATTATGCAGCAATACTTTGCATTATTCACTATGTTAAGGGAACTTTATTTCATGGACTCCATTTTTCTGCCAACTCTTCCCTTATGCTTCATACTTACTCTGATGCTGATTGGGTTGGTAATCCTTCTGATTGTAGATCTACCACTGGTTACTGCCTTTTCCTTGGTAATTCTCTTATCTCTTGGCAGAGTAAGAAACAAACTATTCTAGCTCGCTCTAGTGCTAAGGCTGAGTATAGAGCTCTCGGTGATACCACATCAGAACTTCTTTCATTACGATGGCTTCTTAAAGATATGGGCATTCCTCAACCTTTTTTTACTGATTTATATTATGATAATCAAAGTGCTATACAAATTCCTCAATCTCATTTATAAACAATTCTCTAAAAAAAACATTTAAGAGGACAACCTACAAAACACTTCTCTTACTAGATATTCGAAAATTTTCAAAATGGTTGCGACCCTAAAACCAGGTAATGGAATCCTCAATGCTTTTGACCTGTCAGACTTGAAATACTTGTTCAAGATGCCAACACCTCATGTTAGGTGTCGGAACCTCAAATCGGCTGAGACCTCTTGTTTCCTTGAAGGAGGTTTTGACTCCCAGCTCATGGTGACAACCCTTAGACCATTTTTCAATTTCCAACGGGAAACAAACTTGAAATGTTATCAACACAAGGAATGTTCCATCCCCTTAGCTTCTTTCATTACGATGGCTTCTTAAAGATATAGGCATTCCTCAACCTTCTTCTACTGATTTATATTATGATAATCAAAGTGCTATGCAGATTCCTCAATCTCATTTATAAACAATTCTCTAAAAAAAGCATTTAAGAGGACAACCTACAAAAAACTTCTCTTACTAGATATTCGAAATTTTTGAAAATGATTGCAAGCCTAAAACCAGGTAATGGAATCCTCAATGCTTTTGACCTGTCAGACTTGAAATACTTGTTCAAGATGCCAACACCTCATGTCAGGTGTCGGAACCTCAAACCGGCTGAGACCTTTTGTTTCCTTGAAGGAGGTTTCGACTCCAAGCTCATGGTGACAACCCTTAGACCATTTTTCAATTTCCAATGGGAAACAAATTTGAAATGTTATCAACACAAGGAATGTTCCGTCCCCTTAGAAGAAAATCTGCAAGATCCATTTTTATTTCAAATTGAAAGTTTCCTTATCAAGCATATAACTGGTAGATTTTTGAAGACTCGAAGATCCAACTATAAAAACAAGTCTAGGACACTTACAAAAAGAGAAGTGAGTGAGAGCATCTAAACCTTCAAGAGAAAAGATCAAAAAGCTTCATAATCTTCTTGCACTTAAGCTTTTTATATTCAATTTTTGAGAGATCATTCTTTCTACTTTCAATTCTTTGTCACTTGTAATGGTTCAATAGCACTTGTAAATTAAGGGAGAATTGGTTAGCTTTGTACAATCTAAGTTAAAAGAGATTATAACAAAGGAAGATTGATAGCACCTTGAAGCTATTGTACATTATTGTACATTGTAGTGATTTCTTAAGCACACGTTGAAGCTAAAGGAATATTAGATTTAAATCCCAAGTCTAGGAGACTCTGGAAATGGATATAGGCAACAAAAAGGATGACAAATCAAAATAAATCAAGCATTTGCATATCTCTTCCCTTTACTTTTTTAATTTCTCCAATTCACCATTCTCTTAGCTTGGCATCATATGTTACAACATTTTTATTTTAAACAAAACATAACAACATTTTTGTTTTAAAAAATCAAATTAAAACTACTATTATTATCAAATGGAGAGGGTATTTGTTTAAAAGATACAACCTCTACCCAACTTTATAGTTGTCCCGCTTTTTAATTTGGAGAATTTAAAGTTAGTTGTCCACTAAATATCATTAAATGTAATTATTTTTATTTTACTTTATTTTAAAATATATAATTACAATATATATTATAATAAGCATGAATTAATTAGGATAAATATGAAATTTTATATCAACTAATTATTTTTTATCAACATTTTATCGATTAATTATTACATCCCTATTTAATTGAAGAAAAAAAAAAGTAGGACAACTAAAATTAGGAACACATTTCAAAATGAAAGGGTTAAGGTTTTTCTAACAGTATAGGTTAAGAATATAATAAATGTACTATTTTGTTAGGGAAATAAATGACATACCTTTTGATTCAATATATCTTTGGATGTTTATCTGATTTAATAATTAAAATATAATATAATGCAACCAATTTAATTGATTTTTGCATCTTGTATGTATAGATATATCTTTAAGTTTATTTATCTTTAATTTTAAATAAAAAATGATTATCTTTTAATGTGTGTATTGTGTAATTTATTAAACTGAATGGTGGACCAATTAGTGTCTATTTTGTTATTAACTTACATAGGAAAACACAAAATCTGACTTTTATTTTAGCATTACTAGCATGCAAATGATTTTAATTAGTCAATTGATTAAACAAAAGTACACATTTATATTTTCCACATGAATTAATGGTAAAAAAATATATTTATTACATTTTTAATATGTATCTTAAAGAACAAATGTTGAAAAATGCAAACTAAATAAGGTAAATTTAAATTTTAATTAGTTATAATTGTATTGATTATAGATTTCTCTATATTTATATAAGTGTGTCGATTAAAACTACACACAAGTAAATTGGTGTGGTGGGAGTACCTTAACCAATGTTTTAAAAATTGGCTCGGTGATTGATCCATTTAGGCCACAAGGTTCGAATTCTACTGATTAGATCGAACAAATTAGTCAGGATCAGTCAATTGACTTACATAATTATTATTAAATTAATTTTAGAAGTTAGCATGTATTAAATTTATCTTTATAGAAATAAATAGTGATATAAAGATAATATTTTTATATTATCTTTTTATACAAATTTTATATATTATTAAATAA